TTCAATGTTGTCAACTAATACCCGGATTAATTTTATTATTTATTTTATTTTCCTCAATTCTCCGGAGAAATTTTCATAAAAATTTGAAAAACCCGGAATTCCGGGAAAATCCGGAGGACTTTCATCTCTGAAAAAAAAAAAAAAAAACGTCTCCATGTAAACCTAGCTATAAACCCGGCTAACATCAAATGAGATAGGCTCCAGTTCACCTGCAACCCAAATGAGGATAAGTAGAATATAGAAAGTGATGGATGGGTGGGCTATGACGCAAATCTTCATTGACAGAAATGCTGAATTTTAACATTTATTCTACACATTTTTACAGCATTGGAAAACGTTATGTCATGTTTGTCCTACCACTGAAACCATATTAAAACAAAAAATATATTTCCCTCCAGCATCTTTTTCATTTTCGAACTTTTTTGAAAAAGCTCCGGGGAGCCACTAGGGTGGCGCTAAAGATCCCTGGGCTAACCCAACTACAACAGTTTGAGGTAGGGACAGAACATGAAAAAAAGGAGGTGGGGTGGGTTGTGTGTAAAGTTGTCTAGGCTGTTCATAATTTATCATTTTTGTGTGTAAAGTGGTCCACACTGTTTCAATATATGTGCTAGTCTGATGTACACTTTTTTTTACTTCCAGTCTTACTCGACTCAAACAGGGATTTGAGTGACCGTGGTAAAATGTGTATAGAATTCAAATATTTGCACTGAGAGTAGAATGAAATCTTGTAATGATGTTGTGTGTACTGGCCCTTTAACCGAAAGTTCAGCTCTGCTCACCGCCTAAGACATACTATAGGTATGTAGGGGACTAATGCACATACACGTAGTGGGAAGCAGTTCGTCAAACTGTTAACCGAGAAGTAGGTGACCGTAATGTAAGTGGATGTGATTAGGAAATTAGTCAGCTAATGAGCTATAGATAATGTTGATGAATTATGAAAGCTCTGCCATTCGCCTCTCTCCTGCGGCGTCCTGCACAGACACCTTTTTTTGGGGGAGCACGGGGGGGGAAAAGCATGACAACAGATGGGGACGGATTACGATTATTTTATGAATAAGGACGGAGGGGCGATGATGGAAGGGTGCCAAGGTCGCGGATGGAGGATGGAGGACGGACCAGCAAAATAGGATAAACTGCCCATGTCTGGTAATTTGCATTTGGTGTAATAATACATGGACAGAAAAAAACCTCTGATCAGAGATGGTAATGCTATCGAACTGGAAGAAAATCCCTGAAGCCCTTTCTGAATACAAAACCTGTTGTTACCTTTTCTTTAAAGTTCTCCCCAGGATTGAAACGTTTTCCTCTGAGAGCCAGCAGAGCCTTGATTTCCTGCAGACATAAACACATGAATAGTTATTTTACATATACAGGCCTTTTAGAAGTATTGTTGCACGAGTCAGGCTCAGAATCGGAAAAATGTACATTCTGGCAAATTCCGACTGGCCGGACTGCAATGTACACCAGGGATGGGCAATTTGACTTAATTTACGAGTATTTTCAGATTTTTCTGGAATTATATGAAAACACTAACGCCGTAACTATCTTACATCCTGTTTGTATAAAAAAAACCCTGTAACAGGTGCTACTTGTAATGACAACAAAGCATGATGGGAAAGCCTCCTACAATTGCAGTTGCTATCTAAAGTTCTTGTCAGCAGGCTAAATAAGGCACCAGAAGTGGTGTGTATAGCTTTCAAAGTCAGAGCATTAACAGGAAGTGCAGTGTTCGGTGCCTTAATCTTGTGTTCTTAACAGCGTTTGGTAAATGTGCCTTGCCTAGTGGTCCAGATTTGTCCTTTTGCCAATTATAACTATTTGCTAATATAAATGCAATATGAATCTCGTTGGAGGGAAATTCAAGCTATTTTATATTGATACAGTAATAAGTGTAAAATTGTGTCTCTCCATTTAAGAATGAACTAGGGTGCTCGTCTGAGCCCTGAAACTACAAGGCTGAAATGAGTCCCACTCTTCGCCTTGGCACCGGTAGCGAGACGAATTATTAGTGGCCCTGAAGCAAATCAGTACTCTGAAGGGTGACAATGTCTATCCTTAACGAGGATACAATTATTGTTGCTGTTATTAAAATAAATGCAACTATCATTCATACAAACTAAGGCGTATACTTTCATACAGTAGGCAAAAGATGACCGATTTAAATGACAAAAAGCAACGATTTACAACAGCGGAATCATAAGTTAACAAGATTGATGTGGTTTACTAATCGCCTAATTTTTCATGTTATCACACAGTCGCCGATAATCAAAGCCTTCATTTATCTTCATTCAACCCTTCCTGAAAAGCTTCCCATTGCATTAGCGGACAGAAAACACACGACAGTCATGATGTCGTCTTTGGCTCCACTAATATTCTGACAATAAATGTATTGTCTCTCACGAAAACAGCAAGGTGGACTTAATGCCAGCTAATCCACATTTACCGGTAACCTGAAGTCCAAGTTATCTTGAGCAAGATGTATTAGATATTGCAGGCATGCACGTCTACCGGGGGTTGCCATGTTTGTTGTGCAATCAAAATATGCCCGGCTAGAAACAAAGTTGAAGTGAAGTGACCCGCTGAATGGTAGAAGCGAAGTTTTCTGTTTATTATTGTGTTTTACTGTGCCACACGTGAATAAATATACCTACGTACAGGACAAAGAGGATAACAACACGCCCTATTAGTTGCGCATTGTATTCAAATAGGTGTTGGGGGGGTTTATTTTAATAACACAGGCAGACGCGTGTTTTTCCACCTCCGAGACGCGCCATCAAATTGTTAACGTTTTTAATAACCAACGTAATGTAACACAACCATTTTCTTGCGTGTCACGATCAACCAGTTCATTCCCGGTTGTAATCTGCTTTACCTCAACAGGGCAGGCTCTCGTCTATCCTGCCTTCTCCTCTGCTGCGATTGGCTAGTTGTGTCATCTCGGAGCGCTCATTGGTTGACAAAGGTCTACCCTCAGCGGCATTGCTTTGTCACAGCAGTTTACTGACTGTATGAACACTTGCTTTTGTCAGCAATCCTGTCACACTAGTTACAGGAGGTCATTTTAATATCAGTATTCACTATGTACGTTGGCTCAAGCGAACTTTTATTGCACGGGACGCTAACGGTTTGAGATGTAAGTTTCAACACGTTTAATATTTTACATACCATTCCTTTAAAGGTTTTATTATGTACAAGGGAGAAGTTTTTTTTTTTTTTTTTTGTCAACTGGTTTATTGTTCAAATGATAAGCAATAATACTCCTCGTTAGAGGTTTGACTTGAACCATAACTTTGAATACAAATTTCTTGAACTTCAACATTTCTTCTCCAAAGCAATTCAACAGGAAACTGTAACAGCCAGAGAGCTCCAGCATCATGGATGGAGCTAATTCTCCTGCTCAATTCACGGATGACAAAGCAGTGTGCACGGTGTCTGTCAAAGGCCTGAAGGACAACTGGCAGAAATGGTCCGATAATCACCAGGAATACCAGAAGCACAACCCCTTCAGTCACAACACCAGGCCCACGGCAGCTCCTCAGAGGAGTCACGATGACTATGGGAGGCCCCTGCAAGGCTCATTGACAGCACACCGCGGGGAGGATGCTCACACACACATCAGCAGAGAGGTTCAGGAGTTGTGTGAAGTGATTAAAGACATCGGGGTGCAGAGCCACAGCGCTGCGCATGGGAGGGATATCTCGGTAGAATTTGGCAAGCTGTTTGAGCATTATGTGCCTATCTCAAACAAACTGGTGGGGATTCTTCTCAGAGCCCGGAAGCAGAAACTTGTTAACTTTGAGGGGGAGATGCTGTGGCAAGGGAAAGATGACCATGTTGTGATTACGCTCTTGCAATGACCAAAACAAGAGTCATTTTGCATGCCGCCGTTGTTTGTTGTCGTTGCCTTTTAGTCACATGAATGAAAATCAAGGTGTTAGACAATTACCGGTATGTAATGCTAGATCTATACTTTTCATAGTTGTTAAATCTTTAAAACAAATGGAGTTTATGGCTAATGATGTGAGCACATCAATGGAGGTGTTAAGACTTAAACTAATACATAAAAAGATAATACAACTCATGGTTTATATAACAGGCCAGAGTCACTCCTTTGCCAGTAGCATTGTTTCATGTATGAAACACGGTGCCAGACTACAGTTCACATTTTTGTTGTTTAGATGTGTTACAAAAATGAAGTTAAAAATAACAAAAAACATGGTGCTACAATGTACATTTTTATGAATATTTTACAAACTGCTGTTGTTAAAAAGTAAAGCAGCATGTAATTTTTTTTTCACTATCGTAGTTAGTGGATTAAGACGTTCAGCCATTGAGACATGTATGCTTGAATAAATCAAATTAGATTTTACAAAGTGTGTTTTGTTTTGTGACTGTGGCAGGCCAATGTGAAATTAATGACCAGTCAAAAAAAAGTCTGTATAACATTTAATCACAATATATTAATGTTTCTTAAAGTGCATACATTTTTACATTTTACAATTCCCTGCTTTTACATTCACAATAACATGCAGTGCTCGACAGAAATGATTAGAGGAAGAAAAAAAAAAGCAGCATAGCCCAGCAAGATGTTATTTTTGTGCTGGTCTTACTGGTGTCACGAGCAGCAAAACAGCTAAAAGTTAAATAACGAAACCTTTGGCTAATAAGGGTATGCGTCTCTCCACAACAGACGATTCAATGCAGTTTTCAATACGTTATGTGCAAAATGATTCAAGGGTGGTTTAATTTGAAAGTGGAACAATTCAATTCGACTCAGTATGATTACATTTCGATTAGATAATGTATGGCTCAGTTCAAGAGGGAATGAAGCGATGACTCATTAATAGTAATTTTACTCACATTTGAATGAAATTGTTAGTACTGTAAATGTGCCATCTACTTCAAAGATACCGTATACATCTCAAATGAAAGACCATTCAATAATTATCATAAATATATACATTTCAAAGTGGTATGATTCGATCCGCTTCAATTTGATGCACTGGCATCTTTAAAATAAAAAACGGTTTTCTGGTTCAAATCCGTTTTTGTTGCACTCCGAATGGGTAAGCCACTCTACCAACTGAGCCACAGCCACCCAGGAACACTATCATGCTGTTGCTACCCTGCCGGTAACTGGTGACACCAGCAAGAAGAGCTGGTCACCAGCTATCACCGGCTTCTGGCAGGGCCCCGGCAAACATGCTGACCTTGCTGGGCAGCTGTCGGCACAGTTCACAGAGCAAGTTGCCCCGTGACGGAAGGTTCGGCTATTTGAATCTTGGCTGTTTTGTTTTCCTTTTACTGCTGGTCTTCCTAGTGACACTAGTAAAACCAACATACAAACAACGAAACCATGCTGGTCTAGCTATGCTGGGTTTTTCTTCGGCATGGGTAGGCAACACCGCTACAGTTGTGAGAAAACATTACATTTCTTTTCAGATTCAATCTTTTCAATGGCATACTATAGTATACGACACATCCACAAATTTGGTCCATTGCTGCAACATAAAAATGAGATTTGCCAGTGTGAACAGAAAGGTAATTTTCAAACAACTGTATTTAAAGGGGAAGTCAACTCAAAAAAATTTCGACACAATAATTAGTTCTATGCAGCCCAAGTAGCCTAAACACAACACTCAAGATTTTTTTGCACCTCACAAACTTACAGACGGAAAAAAATCAATTAACCTTTGCATGTGTACATGAACAAGCTTTTGACCATTTCCTTCTTCTAAGGGTTATTATACATACTATACTTAACTCGAAGTGTCAGGATTACTTTGCTTGTTTCCACATAAAAGGTAACCTATGAATAGTTCATGCAGATGTTATTTGATCCTCCAAGTCTTGTTTCCAATACAATACAATACATGCTGATTTATATAGCGCTTTCACAACAGCGGCAGCTGTAACAAAGCGCTTAACAAAACAGTTAACATAAGTAAAATAATAAACACAACACATAACATAAAACACGGACAGTCGTGCAGTGTTACAAAACACCCAGTAGAGATGCCACATAGCTGAGGCATACATTGTAATTTGTTTTACACACTCCCGCAGAAATACATGGCCATGGGTGTGCACGGTGGTCTCCAATTGCCCATGGCACATGCACAGCCAACTACATGATGCACAAGGGAGATCTTGCAATTTACCAGCCAAGAGGGGTGTTCACACGGCAAGATTTGCTCCAGTGCTACACCGGCGCTGCGCCAGTAGAGCGTTCACACGTGCAAATTTGCTCAGGCGTAGCCCCGGAAAAACAGCTTACACCGGAGCAAATTTGATCCACCTCAGGGAGGTGGTTTAAAAATTTGATCCAGAGCAAATGCTCGTTTGCGGGGTAGCACCGATTTAAAATGGTACGTGTGAACGCTACAATTTGCTCCGGAGCAAATGCTCGTTTGCGAGGGGGGAGTAGCCTCGCTACGCATGAGAAGAGTTGATTACGTACGGCGAGAATGCCTTGCTTTCGTGCTCTGTTGGACTTCCGTCATGTGTTTGTTTAATAACAAGACACAAGACATGGCTGGTAACGTAGCAAGCACCTCTTGGGTTATACCATTTCAACTAGAACGGGGGGGGGGGGAGATAGTCCCCAAACGTCATCTTTCCTTTTGTAGGAGACTGGACTGTCTCTGAGTTGCTTGTGTAGTTTGTTCCTTTGTTGTGTATTCACAACCCTCTGCACCCCACAGAATTTATTTTGTGATTTCCTCTCTTGATTTTTCTGTTTGGCGCATTACATTTTTGCTTTTCTGAGTGTCATTGAAGTCATCGTTGATTTACGTTTTTGGGGGCGGTCACTCTCGAGCAGAAGGCACGGAGACCGA